AAAAAAAAAAAAAAAAAAAAAAAAAACGGCGTTGTATTCGGATATAGCGAGTATGGGAAGCATACTACAGTAGTTCTCTCTCTATGGGAACACATAAGTGCAAAGACAAGGAATGCATAGACCCCTGGAAGAGTACACACCTTCCTATTGGCAATAGGGGAAGTGCGTACTTTTCGAGGCTATTCGGCTATGCAAAGACCCGCCGAATAGTACGCACCTGGCCTATTGCCTATTGACAACGAATGCAAAAAAGACGATGAAGCTATGAACCCCGAATAGTACGCACCTCCGCTTGTGGAGACGCAGACACTCATTGGCAATAGGGGAGGTGCATACTATTCGGGGTCCATAGCTTCATCGTCTTTGCATTTCTGTATTCGAATACCAGGAACTACCGTAGGTAGTATTTCACGGGGCTTCTATTACCCTGACCTATAGCCGGGGGCTATTCGGCTTTGAGCCTGTTCGGCCTCTGGGGTTAGGCCACCCAACCCAACAGGTCGGTGGGGCTATTTGTCGTTGTGCCTGTTTGGCCTGAGGAGGCCCAGGCCAACGGCCTGTTGGCCTGACCCCACAGGTCGTGTGTCTATTCACCCTAAAAATGAATGTATACAAGCTATATTTCCGGCCAGATACAGCCAAAATGAGGGTGCGTTGTGTTTGGGGGGAAGACGGTAGTCCTGTCCAGTCCGGTACCCTTGTTGGTACTAGTAGAGGAGTCCAGTCAGTCCGCTAGGGGTATACCAGTCATTATAACTGTATTTTTTAGGCATCTTTCAGTCTAGATACACAGCTATAATGACCGTATGTTGTATTGGAGGGAAGAAGAGTTTACCCCAGCTGGGGCCTGTATTTATTTTGAGGCATTCTTGAGTTGCACATTTTTTTGGGAGTATGTGCGCGTGGAGTCCACGGCGGTGCTGCTTCTGTCCCCTTTAGCTCCATCTCCATCGCCATCTCCACCTTCTTCCTCACCCCTTCCTCACCCCTTCCTTCTCCACAGTGAGGGGACCACCACCTCGTCTGTCCCGTTACAAGTATATGCTCCCATCCCACCCCTGTGCTGCCCCGTGACAAGTACGCTCCCACCACCTCCCATACCACGGCGGTGCTGCCGACGTCTTTTCTTTTTTAAATTTGCTTTTTTTTTTTTTTTTTTTCATCAAATCATTTTTGTTATTTCAAAGTATCACGTGTACTGTCTTTTATACCCCCGAACACGTCGCCTGCCTGGTCATTATGTCTGCATCTAGCCACGAAGGTGGCTCATGTACACTGTAGGTCCCTTGCTTTCCATCTGGCATAAGCAGGCACATTCAGATAGAAACTGTAGGTCCCTAACGGACTACAGTGTAATCGGTCAGGGGATGCTGCAAACTTCAGAGGGCTCAGCAAAACTTTAGAGGGCTCAGTAAAACTTTAGAGGGCTCAGCAAAACTTTACGAGGGCTCAGTAAAACTTTAGAGGGCTTAGCAAAACTTTAGGAGGGCTCGGCGTTAGGGGATTCTGCAGACTGTAGAGGGTAATCAAAGGCAGTCCCTTGCATTTGTCCTTTGGGGACATCCGTTAAAATTGGAACGAAACAGAGAAGTAAGATTAAGATTAAGATTAGCATGGCCGCTGCCCCAAGGATGACACACATAAATAGAGAAATCGTCCATAATAAAAAAGGGAAAAAAAAAAAAAAAGAGAGTAGGAGGGGGAGTAAAATTCACACCAAGGAAGTAAATTTAGGAAAGTATTCAAGAAATGAAATTGAACCAACAGGCCTGGCTCAGTTGGGTTGGGGTACGTACACCCAATGAACCGTTGAAATATCAGACCCAAGTTCGAATCCCGCTGCGATCAGATGACATGAATAAAATAATTATGAATTACCTGGAGCCGGTCAGCTTAACTATGACATTGCAAGTCCGTCGCACTTTGAAAAAAAAGAAAAAGAAAAAAAAAAAAGAGAAAAAAAAAAGAAATTGACCTAAAGGCTAAAGGTGTTTTTTTAAAAAGTATTGGAGTACATATCGTCACAAAGATATCAAAGCGCAAAAGCGAAAAAAACAAAGAAAATCAATTCATTTTTTATCTTCTTACTTATGCAAGGATCTGGGTCCTCGGCAGGCCTGAGGGCCCCCCGTTGCAAGAGTGCCCGCCCTAAGTGAAGGCGGGCCTAACATATCACAAGAGGCCCTCAGCTGTCAAATTCATATTTGGGGTCCGGGCAGTTGCGACGCGTCAGTTGGTTGAGAGGAACCCAGACTGAGCAACAAAGACATTTCCACGGCCTTCTGGGCTTTTCCAAAGAATGCAGGCCCTGGGCGAGAATTGCAGCATTATACACTGACAGTTGGGAGGCCCAATCGAAAGAGGCCCAGTAGCTGCACACAAGCGCAACATCCTGGGGCCTACCGGAAGCTTCTGGGCCCAGGCCCAGCCCAGCCAGGCTGCGCGAGCAGGCCAGCTCTTTCCTAGGAAAGAGCTCTACCCAGGCAACCTCATTCAGGCACTCGCATGCTAGCAGTAGCGCTGCTGGAGCAAAGGCTCGTGGGCTGCTGCTGGCGCTGAGAGGCGAGGTGCAGCACGTGCGGTCGTGCAGGGAAGAAGGGGCGCTGCTGAGGGCAGCACCATAGCCCATCCACCATAGCTGGTGGGCTTGGACTACAGTGAGGCGCAGGGGTGGTCTTCGGGTGCACAACAAAAGGGAGACGTGGGAGAGAGTCAAGGGGGAGAGAGAAGGATGATGATGATGATGATGATGATGTGAGGGCACATACCTGGTATTGGCGATGGTTCTGCATGGGCGACATCTTCACGTACTTCGGGTGCGGCTGACGTCAACAGTTGCATTGTCAATTAGTAGGCTAGTAGTAGCTGTGTGGGAAGTAGGCTGGGCGCCGAGCGCCAGGTAGGGAGATAGGGACTGGATACATATGTTGGTGGTGGCGAGAGCAAGCTCTCATTGACATTGACTTTCAGTGCTATGACTCTCCATTGGTGTTATATTGGTGCAATGCTGCTTCCTGAACACTGTGTTACGATTTGGCCTTTTTTTAAAAAAAAAAATTAAATTTAATATCGTAGTGGTCCAATGGACCACGGATCAGATATTAAACTGATCAGAACAGATACTACACTTGATCTTAGCCGAAAGGCCGAGAAAGGAATACGATTTGGCTTTCAATGTGATTAGGCAATCTGAATATTGGCATCTCGCTTCTGTTCATTTTTCTTGCACTTGCAACTCCCCCTGTTCAATATATATCGTCTCAAAGTTATCAGAGTTTTCGCCTGAGGGAACATCAAATTCACAGCAAAGAAAGTAAAGTCACCCGAAAAGGAAATTGATTTCAAGTTTTTTTTCAATTTTTTTGGCATTGAAGTTCCTGTCAAAATGACGACCCTGTGTTTTTTGTAAAAGGAAAAAAAAAAAAGACGACCCTGTTTTTTTGTTAAAAAAGAAGGAAAAAAAAGACGACCCTGTTGGCGAGGGCAGAAAGGGAGCCAGGCCCGTTTGGATAGAAACTGGTCTGTCCACACCACCGTCTGCACCCGAAAAGAACACCCGGTCATTACATCCGTATTTAGTGCCGTTTTCAGTCCAGATACAGCAGCTATAATGACCGGGCGTTCGATCCGGTTGAAGACGGTACGACATGGTACTGTCGCTGAGCTCCTGCCGCTGCCGCAGGGTCCAAAAATAGAATAGATGGTTTGGGCGCTCAAACTTTTTTTTTTTTTTTTTTTTTTTTTTGTGGGAGCTCAAACTTGGAGGTAGTAGTGGCCGTTTAATCAGACCTGCGGTGCGGAATCCTGAACACACAACCGGGAAACAAAGTTCATGTACTGGGACCATTACCCAGTCTAGGTTCAGGCGTTGGAAGTTCAAGTCCAGGGATAGATATGGCCAACCCAAGGACCGCTGCCCTGACATTTCCACAATAAAGAGAGAAGTGCTTTGCTCTTGTGCGTCTATGTATTTTTATAATTTTATTTATATATTTCGACATGTATGTGTATATATATATCGTAAAACAGAACTGCCTATAGGTAAACCGTCGTAGGGAGAGAGGGAGAAGAGGGCATGAAAAGAGGAGCAGTGCTGCGAACTGTTTGGTCGAAGTTTCGCCGACTGACTCATCAGGAGCAGGCTGAACCCTCTGCAGGCTGCAGAATTCCCCCCCCTAACCGGTCACAACTGCCCGACAACTGATACCCACCTCAACCCAACTGATACCAACCTCAACCCCGGTTGCAGTGGGTAGCAGTTGTCGGGCAGTTGCTGATGCTTAACTGCAAGTGATAATCCACCCACCTTAAAACCCCGGTTGCGGTTAAGCATCAGCAACTGCCCGACAACTGATACCCCCTCTGAGGTGGTGGGGATCATGGAGATGCAGCCTCCTGCCGAGACAGCGGAACTCCGACGAAACAGTCTGTTACAGCCCCCTGTTTCTTCTCCTTTTCTCCCTTATATTTGCCTACAGTTCACCAAGCAGTCCCCGGTGATGGTATATATGTATATATGTGACGATATATATCTATATACAACAAAACGTTTTTTTTTGCGGTTGATTGAGGGTCTGATTGTGGTTTCTTAAACCACCAGTACCTCTCCCTGCTTGAAGATTTCGACGCGGCTGTTAACGCGCCGCGTCGTGTGGGGTACCCACCGGCGTGCGACCGGCAGTCCCCAAAAAACGGCCCCCCCCCAAAAAAAACGACGACGAAAATGAAAAGTAACAGCAAACAGGCGCGGCGGGG